ACCATGCCCCCCCAGGGCTCAGGGCCTGGCTGAGCCCCCCGTTTGCTGCAGGGGAGCTCTGGGGCAGTGTCCACATCGGGATGGGCTGGGCTGGGCTGGGCTGGGCTGGGGTAGGAGCTGCTTGCCCTGCCCTGCCCGGAGCACCTTTGTGAGTTGGCTCTGGTCCCTGCCCTTCATTTTGGGGGCCTGTCCTTACCCACCACCCTCCTGGCTTCCGCCTGCCCCCAGCCCAGGCCCAGCCCTGCTGCTGGGGCTGTGTTTTCCTGCGTTCAAGGAACCTCCTTACCTCAAAGCAAACACCAAAGATGGGGCGTCCCTGCGTGCCCACACCCCGGGGCCCCACAACCGTTTTGCTTTCCCCACAGCTTTGCTCGCCTCTCGCACAGGGCCCTCGGGGATCAACCGCTGCTTCCTCGGGGCACCACAACGGCCGTGTCCCAGTGCTGACCAGAGCCAGGCTCTGCCCTTCCCCAGCCCCCCCTATTTAAATCATGCCCCAGCCCACACCACTCGTGGAGAGGCCCCGGCTTCACCCATGGCCTGGTTCGTTCCCTCGGTGCTTGCTGAATCCTCAGCAAGGAAGCAAGTCCGGGAAAGCCCATTTCAGAGAGGCTTCAACTCAGGAATAGCATGGAGGAAAACTCCCGCTTGGCACCCTCCAACAGCCACGTCTCCTCCATCACCCGGAGCCTTCCCCGGTGGCTGTGATGTTCATTTGAAAATAAGATATGCAATTCCCCCCCCAATCTCTGGAAAGACAGAGAGCACCTTCGAGGACGCCCTTCCCTGCCCCATCCCGTTTTTGTCAGGGTTAATAATATGTAACAGTATCTTTTAACTAAATTATTATGCAGTTGTCCTACTGATTGTATGTATTTTTAAATGAGTCCCTTTTTTCTTCCCTTACACCTTTTTGTTAGCACTTTTTAATCCGCTTGTTGTTTGGCTTTGTTTTTTTCTATGTGTATTTATAATTAATTGAGATGTATATATGTAAAGAGATTTTTTTAGAATATGTGCCTTTGACTAATAATTCCTGGATTTTCTACTTGCCTCAGAAGGATAATTTTTCATTCTGCTCAGTAAAAATGGAAAGGAAGCCACACGTGAGGTTTCTGTCAGTCCCAGCTCTGTCTGTCTGTCTGTCTGTCCTGCCCAGGAGCCCATCTGGGACTCAGATCGGGATCGGAAATGCGAGGGCCAGGGTCTGCTCAGTGGCATTTGAGGCCGTGTCCTCCCCGCCGGGCAGGGGCCTCTCTGGAGGCTGCTCCCCCCGGCTTTGCTGGGGAGACTCGGATAAAGGAGCCGCTGTTCTGGACCATCGCTGCTGCAGCGCGAGGACGTCACGGGGACGTCTGGCCCAGGCACCGCTGTCCCCGCGGGAGGTGGGATGGGGGCATACGCAGCGCTGGTGATGGAGGGGCGATTTGTACCTTGTCTCTAGACCCAGTGGGGCTGTGGGGCAGCTCCTGGTGGCTGCCCCTGGCCGGAGCTTGCGCCACTGCTGGAACCGGCCCCTGCGCTGCCCGGCCAGAGCCAGGGCTGTGCCGCTGCACGCCCAGACTTTGCCTTCGCTCTGCCAGAGAAAAACACCCCAATTGCCTCATCGGGGCAGCTGCCTCTTGGCTTAGGGCTGGGAAGGGCCCCAGAGGGGACCCATGCCCTCCCCCCGCTGCGGCTTTTCCCTCAGGAGCGCCACTGACCCGGGATTTGTGTGCAATTCCCTACTCAGCACAAACGAGGATTATCCCCACCGGGGCAGGAGTTGTGTAAGGCCTTGGCTCCTCTGCAAGGCTCTGGGCTCTGCTGGGAGCAGCGCAGCAGCTCCAGTCCCGTCCCATCCCCTGCTCGATTCCACACAGCCAGACACAACTGGGCATTTCTAACAGGTTTATTGCAAGAGGATGTCAGAGCCTGCTCTATGCCCGTACAAAAGGGCTGCCCAGCAGCAGCCGCCAGCCCTGTGAGGCTGCCTCCTCCCAGCCAGTGCACGCCAAATCGTCGGGTCTGCCTCACCAGCGAGCTGGCTTGAAGACAAACCGTCATGGGGGCTGGGCAAGGGGAGCCCACAGCAGCTGGGCAGGTGGTGCTGGGCTGAGGAACAGTGCAGGGCGAGGGGAGCTGGGCTACAGGTAGGAGGGCAGGTCCTTCTCGATCACCTGTGGGAAGGGAGCATCGAGCTGAGAACACGGCCGCCCCAAAAACACCCCCGAACTGTGTGCTAGGCACCTGCTGCCCCTGGTGCCACAGCCTCCCCCCCAGGTGCTGTTTCTGCCTCCAGCCAAAGGAGGAAGAGCTCTGGGCCTGGCAGCAGCACCAACGGTGCCAGCAGCCAACTTACGTAGGGATCCTCCATGGGGCTGTACCTCTTCACCACTTGACCCTCCCGGTTAATGAGGAACTGTGGAAGTGAAGCAGTGCCCCGTGAGTGGGTCCAGCCGCACCGCAGGCACTACAGCCCGAGGAGAGCGGTAGAGCAGCTCCAGGAGCTGCTAACAGCAGGGCTGGGCTGTGGCCAGCTCAGGTAACCTGGCACAGGGACTGCGCAGTGCAGGAGACCCTCAGGATGCTCCTACCACAACCTCCTGGGTAACCGCACAGGGTGTGAGGATCCACCCCCACAGCCCCCCCAAGAGTGAGGGTATGACCCAGGCGCAGTCCGACAGAAGGCAGCTGTGTCCTACCTTAGAGAAGTTCCATTTTATTGCGCTAGGAGAGAAAAAACAGGAGTGAGATTTCAGCAGAGAAAAGCCTTCCTCTTTCTGTTGCTGGGATGGAGCAGCCCAGAGCCACCCCCTCCCTGACTGCACCAGCAGACTGGGCTTTGCACAGCCTCCTCTCCCCGCACTCACTTGCCCAGGGTGCCTCTCCCTTTGGGCTGCTCCTTCATCCACTTCCAGAGAGGGTGAGCATCGTCCCCATTGACATCCACCTTGCTGTACATGTCAAACTTCACACCGTAGTTTTCAGCAAATGCCTTGATCTGAGCGTTGTCCCCAGGCTCCTGAGGAAGGCAACAGCAGCAATGGGAGCCCTGCGCGTGTCCTGGGGCCACACACCGCTCCCCAGGAGCCCTTGTCCCACTCCCCTTCCCCTGTACCTGCTTTCCAAACTGGTTGCAGGGAAAGGCCAGGATGCGTAAACCTCTCTCAGCGTATCGGGCGTGCAGGTCGACAAGCTGAGTGTAGTTTACAGTGGTTTTTCCTCATTTTGAGGCTACGTTGGTGATGATGCAGACGTAGCCTCTAGAAATGGAGGGAGAAATGAATCGGCAGGAGCGGGGAGAGGCCCCTGACCCCAGGCGAGGCAGGAGGGTGCCGCAACCGTTGCACCGGGTTACGCAACCGCTCGTCCCGCTGCGGCTTAATCCCCGCCCGGCCGCGTTCCTGC